GACGATGCGTCCCTGCTCGCTCTGTTGCTCTCACACTTGGGGGCGATCGGCGTAGACCTGCGGCGGGTCTCCGGCATCAGCACCGATGGTGCGGCTGTGATGATGGGAGTGAAAGGGGGTCTGGTGACGCGCCTGCGACACCAGATTCCTCACTTGGTGTCTTGTCACTGCATAGCACACAGGTAAGAGCCATTTTTTATATGAGTGGCGTTTAATTAAACGGGTCGTTGTACGTATTAACACCCTTATGTATCGTGCATCATTTGTGTGTGTGCAGAGAGGCACTGGCTGTGAAGGCGGCTGCAGAATAGGTGCCCGGTTTCAAGATCACCGACGATGTGATTCGTGAACTGGCCGAGTTCCTTGGTCGTTCGGGGTCGTGGCACCAGCAGTTTCTGGAGATCCAGGACGTGTTTCTGGCAACGTGACTCGAGATGCAGGGCATTTTTCACGTTCGGTGGCTGTCTCGAGGTGACGCTGTCATTCGTCTTATCAATGTTCTCCCTGCAATCATTGTCATGCTCTCAGAGTTTCCTGACAAGCGGCTGTACGATATTGTCACCTCTTACCGTTTCTGGATCATGCTGATGTTTCTTGCTGATGTTCTCGAGCTGCTCAACACTCTCAACAAGATCTTTCAAGCACGCGAGGTATGTTAAATTGCCTATTTGTTTAAATCCATACTTACTTCGACTTGCCTTATTCTGTCTATGCCCCCCCCGCTCGCAACTGGACTTCGGCTCCATCAACTCGGCAATCAGCCGAGTGAAGTCCCTCCTCCTAAGCCGCTACGTCGACTGCGGCGACGACTTCACCGGGGGGCGAAAGACCGCCTCACAGGATTCCTCACCCGTCACAGCCCTGGCAGTTCGCGCAGCGTCACCGTTGAAGGCCTGAATTCCGACGGCAGCTCAACACGCTTCACCTTCATCCTCCATGACCAAGGGTTTCCGGACTATCCTGTGGGGTGGAAGCACGATGACTGTGTGGTGGAGTGCATGGCATTGGCGGAGGGGCTGGTTAACAACCTGCAAGAGCGGCTGGGGGATGTGGAGAAGCTGATCCGCTCCAGAATGTTCGCCGCGGATGAGTGGCTAGTGGGCTGGCTACGAGCTCCCCGGAACGCCCAGTGCCTTGCCTTGTTTGAGTCCCTCGTCGACCTCTACCATGTTGGCGAGGCTGCCGAGATCCTGCCCGGCATCGACAAGTTTGCAGCTGTCAAAGAAATCCCGCACTTCACCCCGGTTCTTGCTGCCCTTCCGAAAGGTGACAAGGGCTTCTTCATTGGTCTCACCGCCATGATCAAGACACCGGACTGGCAGCATAGTTACCCCAACTTGGTGAAGCTCTGGTGTGCCGTTGCCGTCCTACCTCTTAGTACTGTAGAGTGCGAGCGCAGGTTCTCCCGCCTGAACAAGATAAAGAGTACCTTGCGTGGCAGCATGAAGGATACACGTCTTGGGGACCTGATGTGTCTTAGCTTGCTAGACTATGAGCCCGATTGGGCAGCACTTATAGAAATCTGGAGGGCATACAAAGAAGAGAAAGCCCTACAACAATGCTCCTCAGATCCGAGACCGTGGTAGCAAGAAAGGGAAGGAGAAAGAGAATGATGATGATGTTGGTTTGGTAGTTATAGAGTGTATGGAAGAGGAAGATGATGAGTAGATTTTCTGCTCTTATAATACAATGCCTATGGTTTTCTGCTCAGCTTAAATGTATTCTATCACCCTGACAACTCAGCTTAAAACCACAGGCTAGAATAGCACACCAGCGGAGCTCTTGAAAAAAATGTTTCGTTTTGGGGCAGACCCTTTGGTGCGTTTTCTATTTCTGAAATGGTATGGGACCCAAAATTGTTTGTAATGCGAAGTACCTTTGCTACGTTAATGGTGCGCGACGATTGATTTGGCGCCAGTTGCTCGGCGGATCAAGTTGCGACTGACCGCTCACACCGCTCAGCTTTTTCAAGAGCTCCATGGGTGTGCAATAGGTTTTTAACCCGAGGTTTACCTGGGTCGCATTTCGCACAACCCATATGGCTGTTCGGCACACAAGTTGCACAGTTCACCTCCACCCTAGTCGCGAGTCGCGGTCGAGGGAGCTTCGTAATGTGAAGCCTTAACACATACGCCGAATACTTCCGAGGTACAGTAGTTTTTTTTTTCGTTTCACCAAGTTGGCAAAAAGTCAAATGAGTCGCGCGCGCGTTGTCAAACATGTTTATTGATCATGTTTGTATAGACTGTATAGGGTAACCTCCTAGAGGGTACAACATTTAGGTATATGTGCATGTACTCTCTAACTCCATCATCATTCAATTCTAGTTTTGAGATGGTATCACGCGTAGGTTTCGACCCCCCCCCCCCCCACCTACTGCTTCCGCTCCTCCCGTCGCGTCTCCTAGCCTAGCCTCGCCCCTCCTGAGCCCAGTCGCGACCCCCCCCCTAGCCCCGTTGTGCTCCTCTCAGGCCCCGTCGCGCTCCTTCCAGGCCCCGTCGCGCTCCTCCCAGGCCCCGTCGCGCCCCTTCCAGGGCTTCGTAGCGCCCCTCCACGCCCCGTCGCGCCCCTTCCAGGGCTTCGTAGCGCCCCTTCTGGGCTTTGTCGCGCCCCTCCTGGGCTTGGTAGCGCCCCTCCCAGGCCCCCGTCGCGCCCCTCCCTGGGCCCCGTCGCGCCCCTCCTGGGCCCCTTAGCGCCCCTCCTGGGCCCTGCCGCGCTCCTCCCTGGGCCCCGTAGCGCCCCTCCTGGGCCCCGTCGCGCCCCTCCTGGGCCCCGTCGCGCCCCTCCTGGGCCCCATCGCGCCCCTCCAGGGCCCTGTAGTAGACAAGGATGTAGAACGTAGCGGCTCAGCGTGACTACGAGCTTCACTCCCTCGACTTCTCCACTGCCTTCCTTCAGGGCAGCCTTCACGAGCAGGTCTACCTGCGTCGTCCTCAAGGCTTTACTGGCACTTTCCCCCCTCGGACCCAGTGGCTTCTGCGGCGCCCAGTCTACGGCCTGTGCCAGGCGCCTCGTGAGTGGGACGACACGCTGCGTGCTACCCTTGCTGACCTGCAGTTCTTTCCGTCCTCTGCAGACCCCTCGCTCTTCGTTCGTGCTGGCCCGACTCCGTTCTACATCCTTGTCTACGTAGAGGACCTGGTCTTTGCCACAGCTGACAGGGACGCACTGGCCTCCGTGAAGGCAGAGCTGCTGAAGAGACACACCTGCACTGACCTTGGAGAGCTGCGCCGTTACCTTGGCTTGCAGATCTCCAGGGACAGAGCCGCGCGCACCATCACCCTGACTCAGTCACACTTGGTGCGCCAGGTCCTTCAGAGGTTCGGCCTTCAGTTCTCCTCCGCACAGCCCACCCCTCTTCCTCTGGACCACAGACTCTCCGCTCCAGTTCCTGAGGAGTCGGTAGATCCCAGTGGTCCTTACGCTGAGCTAGTGGGTTGCCTCATGTACCTGATGACTTGCACTCGCCCAGATCTCGCATACCCTCTCAGCATCCTGGCTCGTTTCGTGGCCACAGGCAGACACCGACCTCAGCACTGGTCTGCCGCTAAGAGGGTTTTGCGTTATCTTGCAAGTACATCGGGCATGGGGTTAGTGCTAGGCGGACGCAGGCCAGTGGTCCTTACTGGACACACAGACGCTTCTTGGGCAGACGAAGCCGAGACGCTCAGGTCTTCCCAGGGCTACTGCTTTAGCCTTGGCTCAGGTGCTGTCTCGTGGAGAGCTACCCGCTCCTCGTCTGTTGCCCAGTCCAGCTGTGAGGCTGAGATCTACGCCGGTGCCATGGCGGCACAGGAGCTCCGCTGGCTGACCTTCTTGCTCACTGACTTAGGTGAGCGGCCTAGCTCTGCCCCGGTCTTGTACGCTGACAACAGGGCCATGATCCTCCTGTGTCAGGAGCCTCGACTCGAGGGTAGAGCGAAGCACATCCAGCTGCGGTACTTCCTCCTGCGCGAGCTACAGCAGCGTCGCCAGGCTCGCGTAGTACACTTGGCCTCCGGTGCCAACACAGCTGATATCTTTACGAAGGCGCTTGCGCCTAAAGATCATCAGCGGCACTGTGTACAGCTTGGTCTGGTTCCTGTAGTCGCTCACTTACTCGGGCCTTGACTTTGTACTGTCCTATATATATGTGTACACTCAGACTGGACTTGTGTCCTCTCACAGTGGTTGGACTAGTAGTGCCGCCCTGTACTTGTTCTTGTCTTGTCTGTACTCCTTCTGACTGGTCTTTTAGACCCTTGTCTCAGAGGCTGGACTAGTAGTGCCGCCCTGAGCTGCTTATCTAGGACATTCCCCTATGCAGTCCAGGGGGTGTGTCAAACATGTTTATTGATCATGTTTGTATAGACTGTATAGGGTAACCTCCTAGAGGGTACAACATTTAGGTATATGTGCATGTACTCTCTAACTCCATCATCATTCAATTCTAGTTTTGAGACGCGTTTCCCGCCTCGTCGCACACGCGTCAAATCGGCGCCACTACGTTTCTATCATTGTTCACTTGCCCAGAAACGCACCTCGCAATATAGTGCTGGGAACCCGTTTTTTTTAAAAGAGCCATCTTCAAGAACGGCGCTCTTGAAGCCCCCCCTTTGCTATTTTAGCCTGTGGTTTTAAAATATTGACACAGCCCTGAAAAATCAGCGGAAAAAAAAGGAGGGGACTGAAAAAACAGGGTTCTCAAGGTGGGGGGAGGGCTGAGCAATCAGGGTACCTCTAAACCAATCTGAGGGCCTGGCGAGAGGTTTAGGAGCTAGGAGAGAAATGTCGAGAGAGAAGAGAGATGACTAGAAGAGAGAGGGATACAAGAAGGGGGGTTGTCCCCTCTACAGTAGGATTCAGTAACACACATACCAAGCCTAAAATTATATTTTTAAAATGTATAACTTACAAATATAACCTAGTGGGTTGTACTCTCCAAGGCACAACCCTGGTAGTCTATTACAACGTACAAGGATATGCTTGACACAAACCGGTATTTCATGCCGCTCTTTCGTCCAAATGCCGTTTGATTATTGTAATATGCAACATTATTGGATACAACAAAAGCCCACTCTAAAAAGCCCACCAGCCACAGCAGCCTCAAACGCATACAAAACAAAGAAACTCTCCAAGAAGGCCAACAAGAAAGCTATAATTCTTGGCTTAGTGGACCATGCCAGGATCAGAATTGCAGATATGGATGGGTCGGGTTGGAAAAGCTGGGAGGTGAGGGATTGTGATGGCAAGGCGAGAGGTCTAAGCTGTTCCTTATTCCGGTCTTGCGCCTGAAAGATGGTGGCAGTGGTGGTGGTGGTGGTGAGAAGCTTTTTCATCGCATGGCTTGGTGTTGGAGTACCATGCCACATGGCAAACGCACCATTGCCCAGCTGCTGCTGCTGCTGCTTCTGCTGCTGCTGGTGCCGCCGCTGCTGCTGCTGGTGCTGCTGCTGCGGCCGCTGCTGTGTGCCACGAATGCCTGCTTGTACACTAAGTTACGTAACCATTTGTCGTTGGCAGGAAAGCTGCTCCTACTTACAAGATCGCAGAGCTTGTAACAACGCGTTGCTGCTGCTACGCCTGCCACTTTTGCGAGGCCGACGCAGCCACTTGCTCGGCTGCGCTCTTTATTTCGCCAGTCAAAAAACACTCGGAACTTCAATCTTTAGACGCATGAAAGCCGCTGCTGCTGCCTCGATAGCAGCGCGATCGCGTCCCATGCGACCTGCCTGGTTGCGTACCCCCGCGCGAGCGCAATCACGGGGTCCTTCTCTTCCAGAATCTCCTCTGCTGCGCGCACAGCGCGCGGGATGACATAGCGGGAGCCAGCGGGGGGGGAGCGGAGTCGGCGCAATATCTTCGCGGAACTGCGCGCCTGGTACGGGCGGGGGAGCGCCAGGGTAGACACGAGTTCCCCCTGCGCGTGCGCCGCGCTTTCTGTAGAAGCAGCTTCGCTTTGTAAAGCCTCTCCGAGATTATCAATGGTCAGTGAGAAGTCGTCATTGCCGTTAGGAGCATCGTCGACGTCCGGAGCCGCGTCGCACGGGGACTCGAATTCGCGATCCTTCATCGAGACGTCCGCGGCGGGTGTATCTTCCGTAATTGCCGGGAGGAGATTGGGCGGTCCGGCGTGGAGCAGCGAAAGGAGCAGCCGAAGCCGAAGCTTCTCCTCCGCAAGTGCCGCGCTGGCGGCGGCTGCTTCGTCCCCTTGCTGCTGCTGCTGCTGCTGCTGCTGCTGCTGCTGCTTCTGCTGCTGCTTCTGCTGCTGCTGCTGCTGCTGCTGCTGCTGGATGGGATTGCCGGGCCCCTGCCGTTTCACACACTGCTTAAGCTCCGCTATAAGCTGCTCCGGCGTAAACAGCGGCTTCCCTTGCACCCTCTCATCGTCCACGGCGTACGGGTTGCGTCGCAGCCGTTGATGCACGGCGCGAGCCCATCGTAGCCGTCGGGCGTCGCGGCCCTCCTTGTCCGGGAATTGCCACCCACCCACCTCCTGCCGCTGCTCCTGCTGCTTACACGCGGAGGATTTCTGACATTCTACATCCTCGATAGAGGATATCTCAAGAAAGGCTTGGAGGAGCGAGGTCGGCGAATTTTTCTCGCGCTTCGAATGGGGATCGATCTGTCGCTCGTTTCGTCGCACGAACTGATGCGACCCTCGTTGTGACTCTTGCGGCGGTCGCACGAAGAGGAGAAAGGCAATCGCGAGCATTGCGACTGGGCAGATGGCGACAAGAAGCGCCGCCCATGGTGAAAAATCAGCGTCGTTAAGAGGAATCATCCGTGACTGAAAGATACGCTTCTGAAATCGAACGTCAAGCCGCAAGCTTGGTCGAAGCCGTTAGCGCGTCCGTCAAAAGCGACTTGTGGCTTTGCGTGGAAAATGGTATTCTGGGAGGAAGCGGGAGCGTTGAAAGGGTCTAGCAGGAAACATGGAAGGGCTTAGGGGAGGAATTGTGGGAGGCTAGAGACTAAGATAGCCAATTTCCCCGCTCTCGACAGGAGGCTCATGAGGAACGCAGGTTAAAAGGTCTTCCGTACTTCCTGGTAATAGGATCATTCTCTTGACCTCACAGGCTGTGCACAAGAGTTTTGAAGGCGCTGCTTGCGCAAAAAGAACTGGAATGCGCTTTGATGTGCTGACAGGTTTGGGCTGGCAGGTTGAAGATACACTTCTGCGTTGCTTGGGATATGGATCAAGGAGGTGCGGTGCACTGAGATAGCGTGAGCCGTAGGAGAAGTGAGGTGTGGTGTGGTGGCAGCAGTGAGGTGAGGCAGCAGAGAAAGTTGGTTTGGTTCGGAGGGGCAGCTGCGGCTCGCTTCATGCCATAGCTCTCGGTGACACACCGCCCGGAGGACGAACCACATGGCCCGGTTTTTCCTCGTTAGACCTAGGCTGGCCTGGTCTGGGCTGGTCTGGCTTGTTTCGGTGTTTCTTGCCAGAGGCGTACATAAACCTCCGACCACTGCACAAACCAAGCCCCGAACTTCGCTCCGCGTCGCGTTCATCCCTGCCTGGCCTCGCTAGCCACGCCACAGCGCCACCTTTCGGCCAGGTCAGCTGGCTACGCCGCCCCAAACGCACCAAATCTCCCCTCACCTCCTCCCCTAACCTCCCCCCAACCTCCCCCCCCCCCCCCCTTCGAACCGAGTCTCCAGGGCACCTGAACGGGGCTTGCCTGGCCTGGCCTGGACTTTCCCAGGTGACTTGACTTGCCCCGCCCTGGACTGCCGGTCAACGCGTACCCGCAAGGTCCACGAACAAAGCAACCAATCGTCAGGCAGAATCTCTCGCACACAGTTGGAGCCTTCGCGTTTTGGCGACGCGACTGTGTTTCGTGCGGCAGTTCAGCGACGCTGGCGACGATCATTGGTCCCAATAATCGCACGCTGGGTGCATGAAGTGGCCTCGTTCCGGGTGAACCTGAAAAGTGCTTGACTCCGCCGTGGGTTGCGGCGCCAGAAACCTGTCAATGATCATCACAATTGGTTCAATAATGTTCCAAACTGGAATTATTGCAACCGAACCGGAAACCAGACCTGCATTCAAGTGACTCCGTACCTCCACCAAACATGCGGCTCGGCATCCCCACCTACGGACTCACCTTCATCAGGTGGAGGCATTATGGATCATCGTGATTGTTCGCACGACACGCCCCTTGATCCTCTCGCCGCCACACGCGGAAACGATGCCTGAACCTCCCTGGATAGCTACGTCGCGACAAACCTATGCAACCTGAATTATGGCCTGAAGCGAAGGAATCACCTGGTTATACGTCGGGATGTAACAAGAGGCTGTTCTTGTTATGAATGAATAAGCAGAGTAGCGCGGAAATGAATAACGAGATGTTCACTCAATGAATGACGATACAAGGAATGGCAAGCCAAGATATAGGAACACCAGAGCTAGTCTAACCATGCGATGGTAAGGTTCGGGAAGGAGATCGAAGGGTCTCGGAGTGACGAAGCGAGGCCCGGAGAACTCCCGAAGGTCGAACTAGCAGGTCTGGAGAAGCCGAGGCGGTTCTGTCAGAAAGGTCTGGAACAGTCCCGAGGCTTCGGGTGTGTTCGAGCGTACGCGATAGTAGTACCGCTCCGTAAGGAATGGAAAATTCCTTACACCACCACCCCCCCCCCCCCCCCCCCCCCCCCCCTTAGCGAAGGTGATCTATATCAGCCACGTGCTTGCGGTCCAAATAATTCGCAAGTATCAAAGGGGACTATATCTGGTCCGAGGGCACCCACGTATCGTCCTCATTGGTACGATTGGTCCATCGTATTAGAAAGTCAGCGTGTCGTCCTTGACCGTCGATACGAATCCGATGGCTCAAAATCTTCGAAGTCTCGATGGTCGTTTCGGCTGGTGGCCATACATATGGGGCCAATCGTTGTCGGGCGATGTCCGACGTGTCATGAACGAAGGGTCGCAACAAGCTCACGTGGAATTTGTTGTGAATACGTCAGTCATCAGGTAGGCGCAACTGGGCGGTCACCGGCGTCACCATCTTCATGATCTTGAACGGGCCACAGAAACGTGGTCGTAATTTCGTCGGCAGTGGCAGTCGTAAATTCTTGGTGTCCAAAAGCACTAGTTGCCATGCTGCCATGGTAATATCCCGTCGATGTAACTCCGCATACCGTCGGGCAGTTGCGTTCGCCTTGCGGATAAGTTCGACAGCTTTGCCTCGGGCAGTCTGTATTTCTTCGACGAACTGCTGCGATCGTGGTACTTGACTTTCAACGTTGGTGGAGACGGGTACGGTGGGGTCCATCCCGTGATTGAGATAAAACGGGGAGTGATTAGTCGTAGATAAGGGCGCGTTGTTGTAGGAAAATTCCAACATGGGCAGCACGTCCTCCCATTTTTTTCGGTCGGGGCAGTTTCTCCGAATCAGCTGCTCCATCGTTTGATTTTTCCTTTCCGTCTGGCCGTCCGTTTGGGGATGATACGCGGATGAGAACTGTAGACGCGTGCCGTACCGAGCACACGTGTCCTGCCAGAATTTTGACGTGAACTTCGGATCTCGATCGCTAATGATTGCGGCTGGTATCCCGTGTAGACGAACAACGGTCGAGATGAAGAGACGCGCGGTTTCTTCGGCTGTGATGGATGTACGACATGGTGCGAAATGTGCCATTTTCGTCAATCGGTCGACGACGACCAAAGCTGCGTCGTTTCCGCTGGGTCCGGCCGGTAGTCCTGTAACGAAATCCATCGTTACGTGTTGCCATGGGCGTTGAGGTGGCTCGAGGGGCTGCAACAGTCCTGTTGGTCGCTGGTGTGACGACTTCATTCGCTGGCAGATCGGACACGCGGCCACGTAACGCTGCACGTTCGTCACCATATCTGGCCAGTAATAAAACCGCTGCAACGCCTTTAGAGTTTTATCCACCCCGAAATGTCCCGATAAATTCGAATCGTGGACTTCTTGAATTAATAATTTGCGAAGCAGACGATAACTTGGGACCCAAACTCGATCAGTCCTGCTTCGTAAGTAATAGACGCCTTTCCGTGTAGTGACTGGGAGATGGCCGTCGTTTACGAAGAAGGGGTCAATCGAATACCCGTGGGTAAATAGTCCACTCAGTAGTGGGTTGCTCTGGGCGACTAATACTGCTGTATTGTCGGCGACTTTTTTGTACGTGAAGTTGGACTCCAGATAGTCCAGCCAGCGTATCTGCCGCGGGTTGAGATTCGGCTGCGCCCTCAGGTACTGTAGTGATTTGTGATCGTTTCGCACCGTCACGTCTGCTCCAGTCAGGTAGCACCTCCAGATTTTGAACGCGTGGATGATCGCCAACATCTCTTTGTCGTGTACTGGGTAGTTGCGCTCAGCAGATTGCATTTTCCGAGACTCGTACGCAAGTGGTTGAAGCCCATTGCTGAAATCCTGCATGAGCACTGCTCCGATGGCGATGTCACTTGCGTCGGTGATGACTTCGAAGGGCTGTTCCGGGTCAGCGATGCGAAGTACCGGTGGTGACATTAAAAGATTTTTTAATGCCTCGAACACAGCTTGCTGCTTCTCCCCCCACTCGTAAAAAGTCCCCTTTTGCAGTAGGTCGGTTAGAGGTCCAGTTAACCCCGCCATGTTGGGTATAAACCGCCGTACGTAATTCATGAAACTCAAAAATGATTGCAGCTGCTGCATATTCGTTGGTGGTTTCCATTCCTGAATGGCCCGGAGTTTTTTCGGGTCTATTCGAATCCCCTCCGTGGAGATCACGTGCCCCAGGAACTCCAGTTCTTGTTTTAAAATCTCGCACTTGGAGCCCTTGGTGATGAGTCGATGCTGCTGCAACCGCTGAAAAACCGCTTCCAAATCTTTTAAATGCTGCTCCCGGGTCTTGCTGTAGATCAGAATGTCATCCAGGTAAATGATTACGCATTTGTCGAGTAGATCGCGGAACACCCCATTCATGGTGAGTTGGAATGTCGAGGGGGCGTTCGTTAATCCAAACGGCATCACCGTGTATTTGTAACTCCCGTAGCGAGTACGAAACACGGTCTTGTGGCAATCGTCAGCGAACACCCGAATTTGATGGTAACCGCCACAAAGGTCGATCTTCGAAAAGTAGCGAGCTCCGCGAAGGTTGTCGATCAGTTCGTCCATTCGTGGGATTGGGTGGCGCGATTTTATCGTTACCCGATTAAGGGCACGATAGTCCGTACACATGCGAAGTCCGCCGTCCTTTTTTGGCGTGAACAGGATCGGTGCTGCGAACGATGACGTGCTTGGCCGAATGAACCCTTGCGCCAGCAGGTAGTCCAGCTGGTTTCGTAACTCCTGTAGCTCCGGCTAAGTCAGGCGCCATTGCGTGCGTACAGTAGGCTGCGCGCCGGGCTCCAACTCGATTTTGTGGTCCTGGGGTCGTTCGGGTGGCAGTCCACTTGGCAAGTCGTCCGGGAAAATCTCAGGACATTCCCGAATGATTTTCGCCAAGTCATCCGGGACCGAAGCGCAGAGTTTGTTGATGTCGGTCGCCTCGTTCGGCTCCCTTGATTCGGTTACATGGACGGCGTATAAATCCGCTCCATTCTTGACCGCTTGCTTGAGGCACACCTCGTTGACCCGTGTCGATGTTGTTTCTGCTTCCGGCCACGTGGGTAATCTTCGCCTGCCTTTGTCGCACTTCACTGTGCACTCGCCTGTCGCCCAATCGATCTGCGGGTTGAATCTTCGCAGCCAATCGTGTCCCAATAGCATGTCGTAGCCATCGAGCGTTGTCGCCAGCATCGGCGCGCTGAAACCAAAATCGTCGCCACACTTCATTCGAACGACGGGTACTTTGTCGCGTATCGCCAGCGGGCTGCCGTCCACCAATCGCGCGTCGATTCCGGCAGAGACCTCTCCAGCGTCAAGTGTAGTCGTCGTGATGTCTCTCGATTTATGAGGCTGTGACTCGCGCCTCCGTCGATGAATATTTTTATTTTTCTTCCGTTGAGTCGTCCCTCCGCCAGTACAGGGTGGTCCACTGGGTCATCCCCCTTATTCAGCCGGGAGCGGTTGATAGCATGTTTCGGAACCACTACTCGGTGGGGAGGTGTTTTTCGGGCGATGAGGCAGGGTCAGTAAGGGGCCCGACCGCTACTGACGCTTGGCGTTTCCCGACCTGCCTTCGTCGTTCTTTTTATCTGCTTCTTTCGGGGGCAATCGTGAGATTGGTGACCCGGCTGGTGGCCGTTGAAACATTGTCCCTTGCGAAAATCTTCCATGTGCTCCTTCGCCACTACGCCGTGAATCGTGGGCCGTGGATCCTGGCCACGAAAACGATATCCCTCCGGGGAACCCGCTCTCGCATACGTCCGATGTGCGTCAAAGTTGTCTGCGATCCGGACGGCTTCGTGAAACGTCGCCGGTAGTCGCAGCCGGACCTCGCATTTAATGTCATGCTTCAAACCCGAAATGAATCGAGCTTTCTTCTCGGAGTCATCCATGTCGGTGATTTGATCGCATAACGCCATGAAGACCGACGCGTAATCCTGGACAGAACTCCACTGGCGCCAGTTGTCCAGCTTCGTGCGTGCGTTGTCCGAGGCGGATATTGGCTCGAACCGTTCACGCAGAGCTGTACCCCACGCCTTCCACGTGCGAATCTTGGTCGGTCCAAAAATCGCGGTTGACCCTTGGGTAGCAGACCCAAAGTTTCCGAAAAACCCCTGTGTGTCGCCTGCCGAAAACTCCCCCTCCTGTAGAGTATATCGCCACCAATCTAGCGCAGGTCCCCGCAGTAGTGATACAGCCAGTCAATCTTTAAATCGTCAGCAGTGATCCCAGCGGCGTTGAAATAAAGTTCCGCCGAAAATAACCAGCCCGTAACGGTAGTATTCTTATCCATGGGGTTGAACGGGGGCGGCATTGTCGGTTTGATCGTCTCTGTCGTCACGATCGGCATAAACTCTAGGGTGGCTACAGTAGCGGCTGCTTCTGACCGAGCGGCTGCTGCTCACGCTGCTGCTGCTGCTGCTGCTGCTGCTTCGGCTGCTGCTCGTGCTGCCACATCAGCTGCTGCGGCGGCTTCACTGTCCTTGCGCTCCTGTGACACCTGACGTGCGATTTCGTCCAAGACGGTTTCGACACGTCCGGTGCTGGCGACCTCTTCTTGGGCGGCAGATTTCTGACGCGAATCCTCTCGCGCCTGGCGTAGCTCAGCAAATTCCGCACGAAGTCGCTCGTTGTCCTCCAGCACTGTAGCCATGCGTGTGTTCATGGCGTTGAACTGCTCCCGAAGCTCGTTGAACTGAGCTTGGTCCATTTGGCGAATGCTCCGCCGGGGCAGGGGGAAATCCGTAATGTGCCTGTACTCAGGTAAGCGCGAACGCTATCGTAGTTGGGAGAATTAATCAGTCTAATTCGCGAGCAACCGCTTTGTAGCTTACGTGAGGGACTCACCCCCCCCCAAAAAAAATAAACTCACGAAAACGGGTGAGCAAGGAAAGTGGCTCTAAATACCAAGTGTTATGAATGAACAAGCAGAGTAGCGCGGAAATGAATAACGAGATGTTCACTCAATGAATGACGATACAAGGAATGGCAAGCCAAGATATAGGAACACCAGAGCTAGTCTAACCATGCGATGGTAAGGTTCGGGAAGGAGATCAAAGGGTCTCGAAGTGACGAAGCGAGGCCCGGAGAACTCCCGAATGTCGAACTAGCAGGTCTAGAGAAGCCGAGACGGTTCTGTCAGAAAGGTCTGGAACAGTCCCGAGGCTTCGGGTGTGTTCGAGCGTACACGATAGCAGTACCGCTTCGTAAGGAATGGAAAATTCCTTACAGTTCTGGATGGAAAATCTTCCGAACTCAACGTGAGCCAAGACCTCAAAATGAATTTCTTGCTAACTTTCCCTAGTCATCTTAACTGAATGTTATGGCAGATGTACATAACCATCCCCTTCAAGAGCCATAGCATTCCATCAAATATGGAGACGCCGACAACATCTTCCGGTTCGAACGAATACCATGTACTTGGTCTACAGCAATGCATGTGCGAAAGCACATTTGCCAGAAATGAATGAGATGTATGCTAGCATCCCATGGTGGAATCACTCTACTCTACAGCAGGGTTTCAGCTAGGATTTTAGGCCGTCTGACGTTCAGACGGGGTTTCAAAATTTTGTCTGACCATCATACGATTTTTTTTTTCCGGTCTGGCATTTCAGACGAAACATGTGGCACGATCTGACAGTTCAGACGAAACGTTGCGGGAGTTTCAGTATACATCAATGCCGAATGTGCTACATTATAGTGCTACACAAACAACTGTTACACATCGTTAGCATCCATTGAAACTGCATCTATATGCTACGAATAGCTGGAAAAAACTATATAGTGCTACTGATGCTCCACTACTACAACCTACATTAGGAATTAGCCTTATACTAGACCATGCTGTGCCATACCGCCAACTGCCTACTCGGAGTCGGAACTATCACTTCCAACCTCCTCGATGTCATCATCACTGTCAGTCTCTGATACTTGGACCTTCTTGCCCTTGCTTTTCCTCCTCTAGATTGGGCCAGCCGCACCATCCTCTTCAAACACTCTGGCTGCTACTGCTGCTGCTAGCGCTTCTGCCTGTCTGGCTGCTTCTGCTGCTGCCTTTGCTGCTGCCTTTGCCGCCGACGTCTTGGGCCGCTTCACCTGCCGTGCAGTCTGATCCATGACAGCTTCCTTGGCAGGCCGCCACTTGTTCGTTCCACGCCAGCTAACCACCTTACTCCCTCAGTCCATCGGGTAGTCGAGCAGCGACACCGTCATCAACTGGCCTAGCTTCGCATCACCGAGATTGCCGAGCTGCCAGTTTTTTATGACGTTCTGGCGGCTGAACCCACGCTCACACTCCACTGTGCTGAGCGGCAGCACGGCGCAGGCAATCCACATGAGAACCAAATTGGGGTAGGCAGTCATCCAGTCCGGCGTGGAGAGCACGTTCTTCAACGCATCATGGAAGCCCAGCTCGCCGTTGTGTGTCGACATGATGGTGGTGAAACTGACGAGCTCGGCCTTCGCCTTGCCCCAGTGGACACCTGAAGGGGGGGTGAAATAGAGGCACAGAAGTCTTCGTTAAGGATCTCAACAATCAGAAAACACCCGAGCCACGGAGACACTAACAACCCCCTAGAACTCACCCGGCAGAGTGTCGGGCGCTGACGCATCACGCTTGTAGAGGCCGCGCAGAGACTGGAGCCATTCGAGAAACTTCCGCTGGCACCTTGCAGTGGACTTCGGATACATCGTCTGCTTGAAAAGTCTTGTGCCGTTGAGCTTCGATAGATCCTTAAGGCGTCACTGCAGGTGGTTGATGACACTGTTGACGACGTCCATGGCGAGCTGCTGTAGCGACTTCAGATCCCCGTTGCTCCGCTGCCCATCCAGCGACTTTGTGTGTAGAGTGTACGTGTGCACAGTCGGTGCCCCGTGTGCGTCAATTTCCTCGATCGTCACGTCCTCACCCCCCGCGTACAGATGCAGAAAGTTGGCGAAGTTCCCCTTCAGGTGGGCCGAACGTGTGCTGCAATTGACGTAGTGTGCGCGCAGTGTAACGACCGTGTTGTCGACCATCCGAAGAACCTGGGTGACGTCGACCTGCCATACACAGACAGAAAGGGGAGGTGGTTTTGCTCGTTAATCACCACTCCCCTAAAACCGACGACATGACACCAACTGGCTTACCTGGCGACGCTGGAACTTGAGGTTGAGCGTGTTCAGCTCCCGCAGCACATCCGCAAGAAAGTACAGCAAAAAATGAAACTTCAACGAGATAACTATGTGATACATCTTCCTATCATACTCGTACAGCAGGAGAATGGCCGCGGGGAACACATCAACAAGCCGCTGGATAGCCTCACCGCGACTAAGCCAACGTATCTGGTGGATGCCTTGCATTTTGAGGTTAGTTTCAGTGACGACTTCTTGCAGCTCCTTGAAACGGTTGTGGACGACGACGGACCGGCCGAGCACCTCGGCCAGTGACCGCACGACCTTGTCGACGATGCTTAAGTCCGGGAAATCATCTGCAGTGTCCTTGGCAGCAAGAGCCTCCCTGCAGATTAACAGAAAAACTTAATTAGTCTCGGAATAATCATTTAAAATATGCAATTTTCAGGAATGTCAGAATCACATATGCGCGATGCAGTGGCAGGAAACCAGGTGTGGAATACGGGTGCGCAGCCTAGCCACAAGGCCAGCTTGTGCACCCGTCGTCACACTGGCTCCATCGGTGCTGATGCCACAAATCTTGTTGAGCTCGACGCCCTGAGACTCGAGGTGGGTGAGTAGAACGGCCTGCAGAGATGCGGCGTCGCACTTCTCGACGGTGAGATGCCCGAAGAACTCTGTCACCACCGTCGTGTCGCGAAGGAAGGTAAGGTAAACAATCATATGTTTACCCCGCCGGCGGTCGGTTGACTCGTCGAGTTGGATGCCCAAGAATGGTAAAGCCCTGATGTGGGTCATTTGCTTGACGCGCAGGTAAGTGACAATGTTGTCGACCACCTGATTGAAACCGTACCTGCGCATGCATAATAGTACAGTGCCAGCCTTCTAGAAACCACGTAACAAATCAACAGTATATCGGGTTGGTATCACGTAAAACACTTACTCGCTCTGGTAGATACCGTTGTCCTTCACGGGTAGGTCTGGTGTTCCCTGCTCTGCCATGAACTGGACAAGTGACACAAGCAACACAACGGGGGCGTCAGATTTGCAGAGGAACATCACAATCGCCATGAGTCGCTTCAGTCGCTTTGCCTCATCATTCCCGTTCTCGAAGTCGACGATGGACTTCTGCTTCGCATTCTTGCCATCCTTCTGCTCCTTCCGTGCCATCGCCGCCTCGTGCTTTTGACGGTGGTGGTGCTTGCCCATCATCTGGTTCTGTATGTCGAAACCGCCTTCGCCGTTGCGCCCATACTGGTAGTTGGGGTCGATGTTGTACCCCATACAGATGCTACACTTCATGCATGGACGCCCCTCAGAGGAAATACCGCTGCCACTGCTCCTTAGCTTTCAACTGGAGCTCGGCGACTGTAAGGGGAAAGGGACCAACGTCGTCGTCGGACTCGGCAGGAGATGCTTCGGAAGACCGGGATTGCACCTGGACAGAGGGTGTAGACTGAGCCACCGCTGGTCGGCCAAACGTAAGCTTGCGCTGTCGATACTTCTTGCCAGGAGCGCGAACTGATAGGACAGGACCGAGCATCACGCGTGAAGGGGAGACGGCTCGCACGGTTGAGCAGCCAGGTGTTGACGACGGGTTAGGTGACGTTGGAGCTGTCAAACATTACTATATCTAGTGTTTGTCGCGAGAGTGCTCGTTCTGGGGTTCCTGTTGTGGCCTGCTCCGGTGGCCCTGGGGGTGGTACTGGTGCTCGGGGGGTTTTGGGCTCTGGGGGTGTTCCTTCTGGGGGTGCCGGAGTGGAGTGTCCCGTAGGTAGCCGAGGAGCAGCTTGCGGTCCCGGTGTTGGTGTTGTGCCGCCACAGCAGCAGTCCCCGCCGGTGTCAGCCCTTCGCCTGCTCGGCCTTCCGTCCCCTGACCCTGCATCCGTTCCTCTACTGCCGTCTCCTCCTTTTCCTGTCTACGGCCCTGTGTTCCCTCCGCCGGACTCGTCCCCGGCTCGTCTTCCCCCTCGCTCCCCCTTTGTGTCCCCTCCTCTGTCTCCTGACCCGACGCCTCCGTCTCACGTCTGGTCCCGCCGTCCCTCCCGCGCTCGTACTGTCTCCCCTGTCCCGCGCTCTCACCCTATGTTGCTCCGTTCCCACGCGTCTCGTCCTCCCCTTCTACCGTCGCCTCCTCCGTCCTCTCTTACCGTTGCACCTCCTCCTCTGTCTGACTACCTTCGTGCCGCTCGTCCTCTTGTTCCTCGGGTCCTCGCCTCTCTCGTTACCGACCCGTCAGTTCCGATCTCCTGTCTTGACACTCTTGTCGCTGCGGTCGCTGACTTCGCCTCTACCCGCCGCCTTGACTACGCCACCGCTCTGGTCTCTGACCCTGCATGTCCTCCGTCTGTCGGGGGTGCTCCTGCCCTCGGCAATGACGTCCTGGAGGACCGCCAATTCGAGCTTGCTTTCCTGTCTGAGGCTGCTCCCCATCTCTGTTCCGTGCTGCTAGTCCCTGAGGGTGACCCAGATGCTTTCGACATCCCGACCCCTCGCACTTACGCTCAGGCCACCTCGGGACCCTGGGCCTCTCAGTGGATAGCTGCCATGGAGCAGGAGATGGCATCTTGGAGATCCACCGGCACCTTCGTCGACGCAGTTCCCCCGCCTGGGGTGAACGTAGTCGATGGCCGCTGGCTCTTCAAGGTCAAGCGCCCTCCTGGAGAGCCGCCTGTGTTCAAGGCACGCTACGCGGCTAGAGGCTTCAGTCAGCGTGAGGGGGTGGACTTCTTTCAGACCTTCGCTACGACCCCGAAGATGACTACTCTTCGGGTTCTGTTACACGTAGCTGCTCAGCGTGACTACGAGCTTCACTCCCTCGACTTCTCCACAGCCTTCCTTCAGGGCAGCCTACACGAGCAAGTCTACCTACGTCGCCCTCAGGGCTTTACTGGCACCTTCCCTCCTGGGACCCAGTGGCTCCTGTGGCGTCCCGTCTACGGCCTGCGGCAGGCTCCCCGTGAGTGGCA